CACCTAGAACTGACGGAGGTCTTCGTGGCCTCCTTCGCCTGCCACTTCCGGCTGAAGGACTTCCCGTTCGACGTCCACGTGTGTCGCGTCAACATCTCGCTCATCCTGAACGGCAGGTCCTTCAAGGCCGCCTACAGCCTCGTCGTGAGTGGCTTTTGGCGTTGTGTTGTTTTGGGGGGAATTTGATTTTTGATTTGATTTTTTTTTTTTTTTTTTTGAGGGGGGGGGGGTAGGAGGGTTGGCTGGTTGGTTGTTTCGGAATCTGTGTGTGTGTGTGTGTCCGTCCGTCTGTCTGTACTTGTCTGCGTGTATGTGTTTGCAGGCGCGTATATCTGTGGTCTTGCGCGTAGCTATACACGCCTGTGTCTGCACGCCAGTCATGGGCTCCCCAAGCCAACCACACATTCTCGCGCCCAATAACCACGCCCGCCCGCCCCTTCGCAGGACGTCTCCCACCTGCCGCCGCCCTTGGAGCTTCCTCTGTTCCAGTCCTCGGAGGTCTGCGTCCTCCGGCTGCGCGACGAAGACAACCTCACCACGGGAGTCTCGTTCATGGTGAGGACACGAAGAGGCGAATGTATTGGTTCTTTATGTCTCTTTATGTGCTTAATTTGTATACAGGCATACGTACACGCACGCACACACATGTACATACACATACACACGCACACACACATATATATGTGTGTGTGTGTGTCTTCTGCATGTATGTGTGTGTGTGTGTCTTCTGCATGCTGCATGTATGTGTGTGTGTGTGTCTTCTGTCGACTGTGATGTATGTGTGTGTGTGTGTGTGTCTTCTGCATGTATGTGTGTATGTGTGCGGTTAGTCTTTAGCTATGATCTAGAATTCGTTTGTAAATGATGCGTAAGATAAAGAAGTATACATACATAAACCAATAGAAAATTTGAAATACAAATACAAGAAGGCTCCCCACAATCTCAGCTCCCTCCCCCCTCAGTTCCTCCTCCGGCGCCTCCGCGGCTCCTACGCGCTGACCACCTTCGGGCCCTGCGTCGTCCTCAACACCATCGGGGGCCTCACGCAGTTCTTCGAGCGGGACAACTTCAGGTGCGCTGCGGGGCTTCTCTTCGGGGGCTTCTTTCGCGGGGCCGTCTTCGGGGGTTTATTTGGGCGTGTTTGGCGGAATAGAATATTGTATTGACAGATTATACATGTCATTAAACATAGATGCATATGTATATGAAAATACATATATTGTACAGTTGTGTGACTATTTGTGTGTATGTATGTATATGTGTGTATATAAGTATATCTCTCTATCTCTATCTCTATCTATATCTATATCTATATCTATATATATATATATATATATATATAATATATATATATATATAATATATATATATATATATATATATATATATATATATATATATATATATATATATATATATATATATATATATATATATATATATATATATATATATATATATATATATATATATATATAATATATATATATGTATATATATATATATATATATATATATATATATGTATATGTATATTGTGTGTGTGTGTGTGTGTGTGTACATATGATATATCTATCTATATATATCTGTCTCTATTCATATATATACATAATGACTATATTTATGTATACACAACATATATATGCATTTTTCTAAAAATCTGAGTATACTAGAGGATTCTATGTTGATCTCCCCCCCCCCCCCCCCGTCCTCCCCGCAGCGACCGCATCATGGTGACCCTCTCGTGCCTGATCGTGGTGGCCAACCTCTTCTCGCAGGTGGCCACGACCTCCCCTTCGTCAGCAACGCCGAAGGCCGTCGAGTTCCTCTTCTTCGCCGTGACTCTCCGCCTTTCTTGGTCGTCCTTAACCACACTTTCCTCTGCTGGATCAGAGCGAGGTGCCGCAGGTCGAGGAGGAGGAGGAAAGGAACGAAGGGGTAGGCCTACGTATCCTCTCGTTGGTAAAACCGATGTTCTCTCGGTCCCGGCGGTCTATAGGCCACCGGAAGTCGGCTTTCCTACGACGTCGTGGACAGCAGCGGAGAACAAGAGGGAACACAGAACAACAGGAAGAACACCGGTAAAGCAAAAGACAAAGGACGGTTCTTCGTGTACAGGAAGTGATCGTTCTTCCCTGCCTGTTACACAGTCGTCAATGTCTTCTTCATGTCTTTCGGCTTCTTGGTGGATACGGCGACGACTTTAGGCTAGTGTTCATGGCAACGGTCTACGGGAATGACGTCATCGCCGAGTTCAAGAACTGTTCAATGCAAACTCAAGGGTGAAATGCTAAGGCCATGAAGGTGTAAATAGTAGTCCACTGACACCTATATGAAAGCTAGATTTGTCACTGTGTTTTAAATGAAGTTCAAATACTTCATAGTGGGACGCTTCAGAAAGATTGACTATATTATGGTCCATTTTGTGTAGAAATATGGCTCCTTACAAGATAGTATCTCTCTCTCTCAATATATGTATAATATATATATATATATATATATATATATATATATATATATAATATATATATATATATATTGTCTGTCTGTCTATCTATCTCTATATTTATTTATTTATTTATGCATGTATGTGTGTGTCCTGTAGACCACTTCAAATTTCCCAATACACATTGTTTAACTAGAAGTAAGCAAAGCTTTGATGTTTCACAATCCACTGGAATCACTAACATAGTATGTCACTCCTTGCACAGTCATTTCTCGTTAATTATACTTTTTAACTGCAACGTACATTACCCTTACACAAGTTTTATTCACCGACCATGACTCAAAAGCAGATAGATGATAGATTAACTGCATGCATGATGATAGACCGATGTAGTAATTCACAATATTTCAAGGCAAATAGGACACCTAGTGATAGTACAGAGCAATACCACTAATCACACTCATGTTGCTTAGCCTTCAACCGTGGTAATAAAGTGACAAGAAATCCCATATGCCAACCTTTGAATAACCATTATGGGCATATATTTTGTTTTATTTATTTATTCATTTTATCTTCATTTGTTATTATCATTTTTGTTGCGGACGGTATTACAAATCATGCACATTATGATATAGATAAATAAATATAAATCTTTATTTTATTTCACAAATGCTTTTTGGTCAAATAATCGAGGATAACAGACACAGAATATTAGTGAACATAAACAAAATTAATTTCTCGATTAGCGGTTCGCAAAAGTAGGTATAAGTCCTTCATGAACCCCAGTCGAAATTTTCCTAAATAATGCTACAGCTGTTGCCATGAGAGTGGAGGAATATTCATTATTGTCATTACGGCTCTTTTATGTCATTATTATTATTATTGTTATTATCATCAGTATCATTATTATTGTTGTTATTGTCATTATAATATTTATTGTTAGTATCATTATCATTATAATTGGTATTACTATTATCATTATAATTGTTATTATTATTATCACTATCATTTTCATTATCATCGTTGTTCTTGTTGTTATTATCATAAAGATCTTTATTACTACCATTGTTGTCGCTGTTCTTAGTGTTACTATTATTACTAATATTATTATTGATAGCATTACCATTGTTTCATTGTTAATCTTATTATTATTCCCAGGATTATAACTATTATTATCATTACGATGTCAGGATATTGTTGTTATGACAATTACCATTACAAAAATATCTTTTAAATGTACTTTTTCACACTATTACCTTAAATGCATGTAATTATTCCCATTATTGTTTTACTACACTAATCCTTACAAGAACATTATGCAGTTTGTAAATAAATATATATATATATATATATATATATATATATATATATATATATATATATATATATATATATATATATAACGTGTGTGTGTGTGTGTGTGTGCGTGTACAAATGTATCATACTCACTACTATCATCATCAATGTTATTATAGCGTTACGACTAGTATCAGTGATATTCATAGTATATATTTTACTTATGACACAAAAATTGTCATTATCACTATCATAATCATAACTTTTTTATTCATTTCACCATTGTTTTGCTTTTTCACTAGGGTCAGATAACATACGACGAGGGTCAAGATTCTTTACTCTCATAATCCTCTTAATTAGCATAAAGCATAATACTAAATAAATAAAACAAAAAAAATCCATAAATTCAAGAGAAAGAAAGTTAGAGCAAAAGTATGATAAAGACATACAAATGAAAGACTGAAGACGAAACATGAGGAAATAAAAAAAATGAAAAAAGGGGGAAAAAATACATAGAAGTTGCATAATAAAGTGGACTTTACAGCTCATGCTACCGTCCTCCTCAGCTGGAGTTGTATGCGTGCTTACATATATTATATATATATATATATATATATATATATATATATATATATATATATATATATATATATATACTATTTATTCTAACAAGACAACTCTTCAGCTGGATATGAAAGTATGACCCTCATCATCTTTAGTATATTCACATCTTGCTACCATAAACGTAGAATAATCTACAGTAAATAATTAATATATAGAGCCCGTAAATTACAATGCATTTTCTTTTTCTTTTTTCATGTCGGATCAATTGCATTAACAATAAATTTACTTGTAATTTTTGTTATTAAGATTTAATCAAAATGCCACACAGTAGGTTTAGATAAAATCAAAACGTACAGAATACAGATATCATGTATCAGGTTAATGTATGTAATGATCCGTTATTTACACCCTAAAACTCACAATTCAAAAACATTTTTCAATAACTTTGTGTTATCAAGGGTCAGCCTCAGTCAGACACTCCTCGAAATCCTGAAAAATCTCGCTCCTCGTTTGCAGAATATATAAGAAGACGAGTGAGACCCACAGCACATCCCACAGAAGTCCCACGGCAATGCCCAGAACGTTGAAGGTCTTGTCACACTCCGAGACACATTTGCTGTTCTTTCCATTGGTTCTTCGGCTCCTTGTCCCCCTCCTCGTCCGACTTCTCCAAGGCATTTTGCGAAGCTTGACGTCAGGGGGCGTGTAGACGGCAGGGAGCTCGGCCGAGGCGCCCGCCCACTTCCGAACAGCCAGAGGCTGAACGGCGTCGCGGCTTCGCTTCTCCTCGCACTTCTTCACGTAGACCCGAAGGAGGTAGTAGATCGAGTGGTGGAGAACGACGAAGAAACAGGCGTATGATGATGGCGAGGAAGATAATGTCGATGACTTTGGGGCTAGCGGAGGCGGGCGTGGTGGTGGCGATCTGGGCGAAGAGGGAGGCCACCACGATCAGGGACGAGAGGGTCACCATGATGCGGTCGCTGTTTAGGAGGATTTATTTCTAATGCTGAGTGATATGAATACATACATCGACATTGCACATAATTAGCTTTATCTGAATTTTGTAAGATTGATTTGCAAATCTTAAAATGAGGATTAGGTGACATCCTTTTGTTAATTGAAAACTTAAGTATGTCAATATATTTTTACCTACTTCAAGAATACACATCACATATATGAAAATTGATTGACATATATTGACATGTCATGGGCATTTGGTTTATAAATTCCGTGGAGCACAACTAATTTTGATCGATAATACTATTTGTCATATGAGGCGTTGAGAATGGGAGAGGCAAACTCGCCACACTCGAGCTTTGAGGTAAATGGGTTTAAAGTTCCGTTTCGCTCAGAGTTTTACACCATATTTATAGCCTTAATTCTCAGCCATTGATACGCGAACTAGCCATACCATTTCTTGCCATGAGACAGTAGATTTCATAGAAAACGGGAGTGCAAGAATCGCGTGTTCAGATGGCGAGTTCGTCTTCCCCATTCTCAACGCCTCGTATAGACATTTTCTATAATTATATATGACCCGGCCAGTTTCAGCATAGTACAACCTATATGCAGACATGCCGACGAGAGTAATATCAAAGAAACTGTATCCTCTTTACACATATATACAGTTTTACCAAATTTATGCCGAGTTCGAAAATAGATGCAATTTTACACAGCAGTCTCTGAACCTACCTAAAGTTGTCGACGCCAAAGAAGAGCGTCAAATACCCTATAAGAGTGAGCATAAGACAAGGGCCAAATGTCGTGAAGATGTAAGAGCCATAGCGTCTTTGGAACTGGATCTTGAGACGAAGAAATGATACAGGTTAGTTACATAATAGGATAATACAGATGAAAATGATAAATAGTGAAAGTTTCTTCAACAAGAATATAGTAATAGATTCATTGTAAGTTTATAGATTATTAGGTGTATTATAACTGCATAGGATCAGTAATATATTGAGATTAAGTTGATTGATTATAACACATTAAAAATATTTCAATTATCAGAAATAACTCATATAGATGAACTAGAAAAGAGAAATTACAATTATTTACAAAGAGAACCAAAATATCCAATATATGTTTACAGATTACGTTCGAAACCCCAATAGAAGAAAAAGAAAACGGAAAAAGAAATTTACCTTGAAGGACACCACTGTAACATTTCCATTCTCACTGAACTCTGGTGAATAACACACTCTGGAAGGCGTGAAGAGAGGGAGTTCAGGAGTCTGCGGTGTTCCTGAGACGTTCTTTGGAAGAAAGGGATTTGGTTTATAAAGATTTAAGGTCTTTTTCATAAGGTCTTACAGTTGTCTGTGAGGGGGGGCCTGTGTTGGGGTTTAAATGTGTTTGTGTATGTTCTGGCACGGGCTTGTATGTGTTTTTTTTGTGTGGTACGGGTTTGTAAGTGTTTGCGTGTGTGTTTGTGTACGAGATGGTATATATGTTTGTATTTTTGTTAGTAAAGGTTAGAAAAAAAAACATGGCGTTTATATCTGGTGGGAAATCTCTTTCGATTTTTTTTTTTTTTTTTTGGTATTTCTTTGATTACTTTGATTTTTTTCCTCTTTCTTTTTTGTACACATATCATTGAGTTGGTGATTGTGTTCAAAGGCATTTCTGGGTTTGTGTATAATGATTGTATGTGCATATGTATGTATCTGTAACGATGTGCGTGTGTGTGAAATAACTTGTGTTGGGGGAGGGTCAGTTATATAATTGATTTTTCCTATTTTATACATATTTCACAAAATAATCCAAAAGCACCGAGATAACTTAGAACAGAGGGAGAAAGAAAGAAAAAGAAGGAAAATAAAATCAAAAGTGGTGAAAGAACCAGATATGGAAAAAGCAAGAATTTACGATAGAATATAGCAGTAAGAAAGATAAAATCAGGAATAAATAAACAAAGATTTGAACTGACCAAAGAATACTAAGAAAACTAATTTAAAAAGCAAAAGACAGACAGACATAGACAGACTTAGAGATAAATAGAGACAGGCACAAACAGAAACAGACGCAGAAACAAATAGAAAGACAGACACAAAAACAAACAGAAACAAGCACACAGACAAAAAGAAACAGACAGGCACATACACAAACAGAAACAGACATAGAGACACATACACAAACAGAAACAGACCCACAGACACAGACAAGCAGAAACAAACAGACACACGCACAACCAACTCCTCCACAGACCCACCACAAAGCGGTACACTCCCCTGAAGACCTTGCTGTACTGCACAAGCGAGAAGTTAGCATGGCACACGTGGATGTCGAAGGGGAACAGGTCGAGCTGAAAACGACACTTGAACGTTGCTTCGAAAACCTCCACCAGCTCGAGGTAGGCGCTGCTGCTGGAGTATTCGTAGC